CCTACCCCCCTCACAGTTCCTACCCCCTCTCACAGTTCCTACCCGCCCTCACAGTTCCTACCCCCCCCTCACCGTTCCTACCCCCCTCACAGTTCCCACCCCCTCACAGTTTCTACCCACCCCTTCACAGTTATTTTATCATCTATTTGTTAAAATTACACTTCGTGTGTTGCTTGTGGTTGGGTACTGTTTATTATTGATTGATTATTATTTTAACCTCACTTGGACAATCAATAAAGCCAAATACATGCCGGTACTCATACAATTTTATTTTTACAACTTCCCCAGGCAATTCGCACAGCAAGCCACTTCAAAAAAGTTTAATGAAAATCACATAAGTCTAGAAAAGTCTATGCGTGGGAGTGGAGAGTTTGTCGTAAGGCGGATCCGGTTGGAGAGTGTGTTGATCTACATAAGAGGTAAGAGGTCCTACTATAAGTTACTGTTAAGAGGTAAAGTGATAAGTTTAAAAATATATAATCTCTAAAACTCTTGCTCTCAGTTTAAATAAAACTTGTAAACGTATTTTTCATCGAATTTTTAAACTCAATCCGTTCATTATGAAATTAATTAAAATAAAGATTCATATGAATTGTTATAAAAAGTTCAAGTATAATGATATTTTACGCTGCAAACTTGGGATAACGAGCGCACGATACGACGAGCAAATGGGTGAACGAATAAGTTTGCTGAACAATTTCTTGTTTCGGTTAACGAATGGTACCTCGTGTTACGAATACAAGCGCACGGTGTCTTGACAGACCGTATACACAATCCAGCATTGGAGAGCCAGCAGGAAAGATTGTTTGTCCGAGTACTCTATAAAATGAATCAAAGACATCACTTTCTGTTAAGTGTGCCCTCTTTGAGTTAGTTTAGCCCTCGTTATTGGCGCCTGAAGAGAAAAGTTCTATTATTAGGAATCGTGTTGTGGAAATACGGAAAGAAATTATATTAAAATTGTAATGGCAGTATTGTCAGCATTATTTTATTTAGTGGCATGTGTCTATAATTTGAGGATATTCTAATTTTACTCTATATTTAAATTACAGGAAAACAAAACACTTTAAGACATAAAAATGCGATATGTCTAAGGCTGGAATAGATTGATTGAATTTATATTGATTCCAATTATTGGTTAAGTTATTTCGGTTAGCGAACGTCTCGGTTTAAGAACGTAGTCACGTATCGGATTAAGTTCGTCATCCAAGGTTCCACTGTACTAAATTTATCTACTTCAGCATAAGTCGGAAGGTTTTTCAAATAGTTGCTGCAGAAAAAAAAATTATTTTATAGGCAGTTAATATTTTTGAGAATCACTTGTTGGAATTCTGAGAGTTTAAACCATTATTAAATTTCTTTTCGCACTTGTAAGTAAACATATTTAATCTGTATTAATGCAAACGTAGGAGACCCGCTCGAATCGCCACAGCAAGTCTTCCATTACTAGCTGTGGCCAAGGAAAACGATATTGGTGATCTTGTTTTTAAATTATTGTGTTTCAACCCCCTTCCCAGCCCCAACCCTCCAAAAAAAAAACAACAACAAACAAACAAAACTAGCTAAGTTCCAGAATATCGACTTTCAAACAGCTATAACCCCCACTCCGACAGCCTCCTGGCCCCATCAACAAAATGTACTGGTAATATAATTATATAGTTTAAAATCAGCCCCTAACTGTATCAAATACCTCATTCCTCATCCCTGGGCTGTGTCAAATATATAATTGCTCAGTCCCATAGCTGTGTCAAATATCTAATTCTTCAGTCCCATAGCTGTGTCAAATATCACATTCATCAGCCCATAGCTGTGTCAAATATCTCATTCATCAGCCCATAGCTGTGTCAAATATCTCATTCGTCAGCCCATAGCTGTGTCAAATATCTCATTCATCAGCCCACAGCTGTGTCAAATATCTCATTCATCAGCCCATAGCTGTGTCAAATATCTCATTCGTCAGCCCATAGCTGTGTCAAATATCTCATTCATCAGCCCATAGCTGTGTCAAATATCTCATTCGTCAGCCCATAGCTGTGTCAAATATCTCATTCATCAGCCCATAGCTGTGTCAAATATCTCATTCGTCAGCCCATTGCTGTGTCAAATATCTCATTCATCAGCCCATAGCTGTGTCAAATATCTCATTCATCAGCCCATAGCTGTGTCAAATATCTCATTCATCAGCCCATAGCTGTGTCAAATATCTCATTCGTCAGCCCATAGCTGTGTCAAATATCTCATTCATCAGCCCATAGCTGTGTCAAATATCTCATTCATCAGCCCATAGCTGTGTCAAATATCTCATTCATCAGCCCATAGCTATGTCAAATATCTCATTCATCAGCCCATAGCTGTGTCAAATATCTCATTCATCAGCACATAGCTGTGTCAAATATCTCATTCATCAGCCCGTAGCTGTGTCAAATATCTCATTCATCAGCCCATAGCTGTGTCAAATATCTCATTCATCAGCCCATAGCTGTGTCAAATATCTCATTCATCAGCCCATAGCTGTGTCAAATATCTCATTCATCAGCCCATAGCTGTGTCAAATATCTCATTTCTTAGAACAAATCCTTCTGTCAAATGTCAATTGTGTTAACAGCAGTGTTAGAGATTTGTTGAATGAGTGTGTGTGTGTTTTGTACACTGTTGGTGGTCGTATTAATTTTGGTGTGGTTATTCTTTATGCAACTGTTGCTACGTAGTTTTTAATATTGTAATAATATTTCTGGGTTTGAGAGATGATGTTGTCCTGTGTTCTGGTTTCAGTAGGTCGTCAGTTGCAGGGAGATAGTGGAAGGAAGAATGCATGCCGTGGAGTTGTTGAATAATGAACCATATTAAATATTGATCTTGGTGTTGTTACTCATTACCCCTGGACTAAACGAAATCTACTGAAATACTTATGCAAGCACTACAAAAGTTGACGGACACAAATATTTTTATGCTGTGAAAGAAAAAAAGGCACCACTCATTCAAGAATGCATGTGTTTAATGTTCTTTTATCACAACTGTTCAACATGTGGAAGTAGAGAGGGAGTGATACTCCCTGGCAGGGACAGTCCCTCCAGCCCTTTGGTTTGAGCTTCCTAGAGGCACAAAGCTGGCAAATTTTACAAGTAAACTCAAAGAAAAACGTGTTATGGAAACATTTTTTTTGATAAAGCTGATAAAACTTCTACCCTTGTTTTGTTTGATAATTAAAGATGGAGACACGGTTTGAAATGAACCCACATGCCAGCATATCTAAAAATCGTACATTATGCCACTGATTAGACAAGTAGACAGTGCATATGTATGTCAAAACAAAACTGTAATGTGTTTATAGTTTATAGGGGAGACTTGAAAAAATTTACACTGCCAGTAAACATCAAAAGCAGATTTCTTAGAAAAGTTGTGTTTTTTTTCTACCGCAAAGGATTATTTTATCATTTGGGATTTTCGTGTAAGCAAAAAAAGTTTTTAAAAAACGAAAGACTTTCATTAAATTTAATGTAAACTAACAGAAACCGACCAAATTGCCACCATTGTCTCAGATCTGGCTTAAGTAAAAAATAAATATTTACAAATCTTGTGGGTTTTTTTTAAAGTTTGTTTTTTGTGATCTCATCCTTTTCACATCAAATCCAATATAGGTAAAAATGTGTATTTGTATAAAAAATATATTGTTATTAAATGGCTATGATTTGGAATGGATGCTATGATATACATACAAAATGGAGTACCGCACCAATGAATTTAGCAAGAAATATTGACCACAAAAAAAACACAAGATTTTACAATGTATAATAGTAAAAAAAAATATTCAACATGTTTGCAAGTGGCCACTTGCATAGACCGAAAGTGAACAAATCGTCAGCCTTGAAATATACAACTGAAAGAGGATGTTGTACAATAGATCGGAATGAAAGGAAGGGAGCGAACACTTTATCAAAATATAACCAAAAAATTCATTAAAAAATAACTTAATACAAAAAAAAAACATTTTTTAAAAAAATATATATATAAAAGTGTTGTTTTTTTAAAAAGTATTCCAAATTGAACAAAATTTGTTGGAAATTAGGCTAAAAAATATGGCAGGGTTATACATAGGACATGAATAAGTTTAAATAAGTTATTAGTTTTGCTTAAATAATATTTATCTCAATCTATAACCTATTTTAAACTTTTTTTTTTTATAAATGTTCGATTTTAACAAGTAGACAAAATCTTTTGTAAAAATGCACATGCCTCTTACAGCTTTGGGTTATTGTTCATGAAAGGTATTCTACATAAAACATACTTAATGGAATTTTTATTAAATTGAAAATTGTGTATTCAATAAATAAATTCTAAGAGTTCTAAGAGGTCTTAGTAAAATGTAAATTATTTTACATAGTTCAACACCATATTCAGTCAAGTAGTTATCTACACAAAGAGTGATATAGATGGTAAGATTTGTCAGATTAACAAGGTCAGACTTATTTAGGATAAAAATCAATACATTCAATTATTTAAAAATATATTCAAGTTAAAATAATGAAACAAAACTGAATTCTACTAATGTAAAAAAAATGTGTTTTTAAACTGTTTAAAAATGTTTAAACAACATAATATAATAAAGAGGAGAGCACTCAATTAACTCCAACAGCTTAGCATTTCAAGAAATGGACAGCCAAGGCAGACCTGTTTACTCTTACGATTTTGGCGTACAATGTACGATTTTGAGGTGTATAAATTATATATACTGCACGTTTTTTTTTCTATAAAGAGAATGTATTGAACGATTATGTGATGATATTGTACGATTTTAAGAGTTTGAGGGTAAACAGGTCTGCCAAGGTAATGGACGTTTAAGGGACTTGCTTCAACTTATATGGGAGATCCCCCCATCCAATTAAAATGCATGAGTGCCAACAACAAGACTGGCCACAAATCAAAAGAATAGCATTAAATCTTGTAACATGTCAGAAAATTGAATAAAAGTTTATTTTTTATTGAGACCAATAACACAAAGTATTGCACAAAGAGGAAGACTCAAGAGTAATTCCATTTTAACCTTTCCTGGAAAAAAGTGGGGGGAGGGGGGGGGAGGAGGTGTTGTAAGTAGTTTTATAATCAGTTGTGATGAAAAACTGGTCGAATGTATCTTTTTTTAAACCTGTTTTAGAAGAAAAATGTGCCATGTCCAGACAGTAAAGTCCAATGTCAGTTGTTTATATCATAATCATAGAGTACATTCAACTTAAAGGAAGGTTAGTTTTAGATTTTTGCGAGCAAATCCAAATTCTTAGAAAGTATTCTTATTTAATAATTAAAACAGATCAAACATCTTTCGCTTTTTTAATTTTATTGTTTAGTTTATTATTATATGTCTTAACGTCTTGGAAGGCTCCACCATATTTATGTATAAAATAAAATATGTAAGCCTGAAGAAAATTGTTTTTTAATTTTCTTGTGGAGAAATAATTGTAGAAAAGATGAAGTTATAAAAATCATTAAGATGGTGGAACTTTTATAAGAAATAAAGTTAATTAAAATATTCTGATAACTCTATTTTTTTTAAACATTTATTAAATTCTTCTATTGAAAAGATGAATAATATTTCTAAAATTGTCAAATGTATTCAAAACTTCTTTTTTTTTAAAAGTTGAGGAGTTATTTGATGAAAATAAATCACATCTCAATGACTTATCATGAATTAAATCTTTTTATCAATATACAGAATATTCTTTCAAGACATTGCCCTTTAAAGTATGACAAGCAAAGCCAGAGGCCAACTGCTGTTAAACATATGCATCAGTGCTGGAATCCTGTTGCTCCATATTTGACTTAAGAACCTGCTCATATGGAGGTGGGCTCGTAGGTAGACCATCATTCCCAAAATTTGCAGAATCATAACATATTGAGTCATAGGCTGGCGGAGGGGTGACGCTACGTAAATTATCCTCAAACTCCAAAGGCATATGGACTTGATAAGGTTCATTGTAAATGTCATATCCGTAATCAGCACCCGTGGATATGTGTGAGCTGCTGTGTGTGTTTCTCTGATATGGCTGTGGTCTGCGTGGGACTATCCTGCCTTGGGGTGGAATGCTGTCAACTAAGCGAGGTGCACTGGATGCTCTCCTTCGTTTGTACAGCTTGACCATGCCCCAGGTAAATGGGACGGTCATGGCCAGGAGTACAACAGCCACAGGAATGCAAATTGCTAAAATTGTTGTGTTGTGAGAACTGAGGCCATCAGTGGTTTCTAGTTGGGATAAAAAAAAATTTACTTAAAAATGTGTGAAATTACTTTTAAAAAAAAAAAAAAAATCAACTACAGTTCTTCGTTTTGAAACTATTAAACCAGAAGTTCTATATCATTGTTACCTCCTTTGACTGCTTGATATTTAGCTGAGAACCCAGAAAACTCAAACGCTTCATTTGACATAAAACGAACAACCATCACTGGACCACTGCTTTGGTATACTCCCGTTTGATATCCACAGAAACGGTTTAGAAAAACATCCTCACCATTAATCCCTTAGTAAAGGAAGAAAAAAAAACTATGGCAATTATTTATTATTATTATTATTATACAATTATTACAATTATTATTTTAAAAAATTGGGCAAAATGTATCATGTTATTCAACCCTGTAATTTGTAGAGAGCAAATTAACAAGGTAGCTTTGTTATGGTGTGTTGGAAGTTATTATCAAAAACAATTTAGTTTTTTAAATGGAACACTATCTACAGGAAACAAAATGTAAACAAACTTTCATTTTTAACTTAAACAGAAATAAGAAAGAAGCCCATCTGTCATTTGGAGAAATCTGACTTAACTTGTGACAGACATACACTCACTATTGAATATGTCAACATAGTCTCTGTTACATTCCCCATATATGTCTTTTCCCTCTAAGTTGCTTAAGGTTATTTGCAGCTTGATGATCATATCAGGAGACTCAGATGTGATGCTCCAATCACATTTTTCATTTCTGAAAAAGATTGTTAGAGCCAATTTTATTTTGGGTTATTTGTGAATTTAAATTTCAATTCAATAAAATAAATAGACAAACACAAAAACGGCACCTCCCTGTTCACCAATTTTTTTTATAAATAGGAAAACAAAAGTATTGGGGAAAAAATATTTGAGAGATTAGAAGTCATCTTTTCTAAAAATAAAAAATAAAAATTTCTTCTAGAGCAACAACTACTTTAAACTCGACCTACTTGCACGAAGTGCAAGCACTTACTACCAGATCTGACTCTTGTCTCATTGAGTGGGTGAAGCTAGTGATAAAACTACCCGCAATTGTCAAACTACTGCCAGGTTTAACCTTTGTGACATTGAGTTGTACCAAAAACATATGAGCAAGTTCATGAGGTCCCACTCATAAACTATAATGGCAAGTGTCTGCCGAGGTCTACATAGCTATTGTAATATATTTATACAAGTAACTCAACAATTTATTATTTTTAATTAATGTTCTTCCACACATCAGCTATCTTTCTTAGCTTCATTATACTTTTAAATAATTAAAGACAATATTTTTAGAGACAACTAAAACAATTTTTTTAAGCTACAGAACTTTCAGAAAAATGAGCCATTCAGGAGTCTCAGCAATTTTTTTTTAACACTTACGCCTTATACTTGACTCCAGAATTCGGGAACTGAAAGGTTCCTGTCCGTGAGGCAATAGTTGTAAATGCCATTGGACTTGAAAAATCAGTGCAAGTTTGGGTGCTATAGTACTGGCTGCCTGTAATGCATAAGAAACTTATATTTAAATATGGTGGAATGTATGGTCCAAAATAGATTTTTACCTTTTCCTAATTTATAGGTAAATATTTTATGTTTGATGCATTCTCAGTTGATTACAAATGTGCATTATAAATACCAAATGAAGGTAAATGAGTTATACTGAAGTAGAAATAAATACTGGTACTGTTATGTTCAAAATAATTTTGTAGTACAACCATGAATTCTGCGTGTTGTGATTATTTTTTTTTAAAACATGAATTAAAATAATTACCTGTTCTCTGTACCAAAGTAAAATGAATCAACAAAAACACAAGTTTCCTTAACCTAACATCCATTTCTTCTTTGTGTTGGGATGATTGGTCACAGAAGACTTTCTATGAATTCCTGACAGCTTAGTCCTGCAGTGTTCATGACTTGGTTTTCATCTTTGCTCCTATGTGTTAACTGTTCCTGTTCAAGAATTTTTAAAAATAATTAGTGAAAATTATTATAGGTAAAATAATTTGCTCATCATGGATTTGAAGTAAACACATACAAGCCATAAATAGCAACACAATTATAAACTATATAATAAAAGTTATAGACTACAGATTTACTTTATTTAGAACTGCTTATAGTCATTATAAATAGTAAAACAATACACATTTGTGTTGTTAAATATTTAATTTGTTTTGATGAGAACAAGAAGGTAGTGATGTAAATTTAAACCAAAAAAAAAAAAATATCGTAATTGGCAGGCATGGATTAACAATTTTGTAAACAAAGCCATGTTTCAGATTTGAGATATGCAGTCACTATAACCATGCTGCTAAACCAGCAGTCCTACTTAAAATACTACCCTTGTTATATAACTCTTTTATCATAGTGGGTTATCAATTATCAAATAGTCTCAGGTGATTTGACACTAAAACTTAATAATGTACATAATAATAATAATAGCCAACAGCGGGGGACTGGGTCTAAAAATATTGGTTTCCAGGCAGGAGAAAAAGGAGAACCACTCACATCTTTATGACTATCATTATTATTTTACTTCCATAAGAAATAAATAAAACTTTAAAAAATATTAAAAAATTGGCCTTATATTAATTTTTTAAAATAGCAATTACAGTACAGTGGACATAATATATGGTACATATTAAATGTCTACTAATAGTTTTCAGCGAATATTAAATAAATAGATGCTATTTTTTTAATAGGTTGCTACTATTGTATATTTTACACTTTCACAACTAGGTTTTGAGAGCAATCATTTGTATTCACCGGATCATTTTGTAAATCTCACAACAATTGTTGCCTACACAGAATGTATAACTTTTTGTAACTGGAATGCCTAAGCTTATATCATTGTCAAGCAATAGCTGTAAAATGCATATCAGTTTGAAGCAAGTGAAAACAATTCAAATATTGCCTGATTTTTGCTGATTTATGGCAACAGATTAATAATATCATCCAATGGCTCATCTTCAAGGCCTTTTATTAAGGTTTAAACTTTGCTTGGTCCAATCAGCATAACCTTTCATACCTTTACAACTTTTTTGCATTAAAAGCTCATAAGTTCTCTGTTCCTTCAACTTTGTTTTAGCTGAATCAACTCATTAAAGCTATGTATACATCATATCTGTGAATCACTTGATAATGGGGCTGTACTTTCAAATATATACAAGTTAATGATGTTCATGTTAGCATTGTTTCAAACTTTACAAGTCTTTAGAGTAAAATGTTTGCTCCTCTTTTAGTTTCTGCATCAAACTCATCTGAATCTTGTATCATTTATAATCCATAACAAGCCATTAGCATGTCAGATTTACTGAAGTAATTGATAATCCACAACAGACCATAAGTATCTCATTAGCTTTGCTGAAAGAATTTGTAATTCATAACGAACCAGTAGCATATCAATAGATTTACTGAATTAATTGATAATCCATAACAATCCATTAGCATGTTTTTAGATTTAATGAAGTAATTGATAATCTATAACAAACCATTAGCATGTCAATAGATTTGCTGAATTAATTGATAATCCATAACAAGCCATTAGCATGTTCATAGATTTAATGAAGTACTTGATAATCCATAACAAGCCATTAGCATGTCAATAGGTTTGCTGAATTAATTGATAATCCATGACAAGCAATTAGCATGTTCACAGTTTTACTGAAGTAATTGATAATCCATAACAACCCATTAGCATGTTTTTAGATTTAATGAAGTAATTGATAATCTATAACAAGCCATTAGCATGTCAATAGATTTGCTGAATTAATTGATAATCCATAACAAGCAATTAGCATGTTCACAGTTTTACTGAAGTAATTGATAATCCATAACAACCCATTAGCATGTTTTTAGATTTAATGAAGTAATTGATAATCTATAACAAGCCATTAGCATGTCAATAGATTTGCTGAATTAATTGATAATCCATAACAAGCCATTAGCATGTTCATAGATTTAATGAAGTACTTGATAATCCATAACAAGCCATTAGCATGTCAATAGATTTACTGAAGTACCGGTAATTAATAATCCATAACAAGCCAATAACATGTTCATAGATTTACTGAATTAATTGATATCCATTACAACCCATTGGCATGTCAATAGATTTACTGAAGTAATTAATAATCCATAACGAGCCATTAGCATGTCAATAGATTTACTGAAGTATTTCTTTTATTGTTAGATATTCAAGCCACTTAAAGGTCATAAAAACAAATTATAAGATTTTGTCTAATGTTCAGGCGCCCACGCGCCATTGGGTAAATTGACACCCTTACTAGTCCACCACTGATTGTGGGTAATAGCCTACATATTTATTATAATAGGCTTAAAGATATAAGTGAAACAAAGTATGGGCATGGGAAAACCTGAAAAAAGGATGCAACAAAACCATATTCAGCTTTTCCCATACTTAGTTTCACATTTTGCCTTCCAGCTAATCTGACTGCAATCTCTCCCCCTTATTGTCATATAATTTTCCTACTTTGTATTATAAACTAAACACAGAAACTTAAAGACTACAACTTATATAAGTTATAAGTTACATGAGTTGTAGTCATGGGCGCCCGCAGGTAGGGGCAAGGTGGGGTACTTGCCCCCCCCCCCCCTCGATTGATTGGATAAAAAATTTTTAGACAAAAATAGACAAAAAATGTATTAAAGTAAAGAGAAAATAAAGAAAAAGTAACTAAGCTGATGTCCTGTCCGTTCGTTCACCATACAAATACGCTACAGTAAATGAAAACTATACTATATTAAAACTTTACTAAAAAAATTTTGCCCCCCCCCCCCCCTGGAAAGTNCGTTCACCATACAAATACGCTACAGTAAATGAAAACTATACTATATTAAAACTTTACTAAAAAAATTTTTCCCCCCCCCCCCCCTGGAAAGTTAATCGATTTTTTTTGGACCACCCTAGAAAGTTTTCTGCGGGCGCCCATGGTTGTAGTCTAGTCGTAGTATGTCTTTTCAGGCTAAGGTTTAAGAGTAGCAATAATATATAACTATACTTTGAAGCTTAGTTACTTAGTTCGTTTCATTAAATTTTGTCTTTGTTGAATAGGGCTTAGTTTTTGGGCTTTATATAATAGACAAATAGTTTTAGTTATAGTTAGTTAGCTACAAACTTAGACTGTTACTAACTTAGGAATAGTACACAGTGACACTACAAAGCCAGCTAGGCCAATAATTTAGTCAAGTTGGCTAACAATGTTTCAGTTGAATAAATGAGTCTAAACTAGACTTTTACAATTTCTTGAACTTGTTCATTATTTAAATCTCACTTGGTATGTTTAACCGTCCTCCATGAGCAGACTAAGACCTACTTGCCTACTTTGGTAAATGAAGAAAGAAATGCAAAAGGACAGTCACAGTACAGGCCCTTTCGCTACTTATAACTCTCAGTACTTGTAACTAAGAACTAGAGCCACAACAATGACATTTTACAAAAAGTAGAGTGTTTAAAAAAAACATGACAAATTTGCCGACAAATTCAGAACATGGCATATTGTTGTGTTTGTATACGGTAATATCTTACCCTGAAAACGATTTATTTTGGAACATTTTTTTTTTTATTTTTGATTTGACCCGTTCCTGACCCAGGATACACTTCTACACACGGAACTGTGGGAGGGGGGGGGGGGGGGGGGGGCTTTGTTGTGTTCAGGTAACTGGCTTTACCTGTTGTAGTGTTATACTAAAAATCATAATAGTCACGAAACAAAAAGCCCGAAACAAAGTCAAATACGATTATCTGAATTTAAAATATTATGAAACATAGAAGTAAACGAAGACTTTATTTTAATTTGTTCATTAGAATATACACTTGAGAATTGTGTTTAGAGATTAACATTCGGCTTCAGGGGCCATGACGAAATGAAGTCAAATTCACGCTAGCTTAGCCGATTTTTAAGTCAAACCTTCGGCTTCCTCCAAGTTAAAAAAAAAAAAAATGATTTAAATCATGTATATATGAATATATTTATATATATATTCACATGAAAATTTGTGGCTGTGTTAGTCTGTCTGTTTGTTCCACAAAGGCTTTTACATGGATTGATGGATCTTGACCAAACTTGGCACATATACACGTTATTATCCGAAAGGAACTTTTATGTTATGAAATTTTTATAACATTCCGTTTGGGGCCGGGTGACCCAAAATCTGTATCTTTCAATTTTTGTTAACTGTGTACCTGCGCATCATATAATTACCATATACAAGATGATAAGATTAATAAGACACGAACAAATTGTGTCAATATAACAATATAAGTTCCGCTTTAATAATAATTATACATTCTACACAAGTCAACGTTTCGGCACATGCCTTATAATTAGTTAACAAGATGATAAGCCCGTATTGTGAACAGGGGGGAAAAAAGTCTATAAAATAATTGCTCTTAAAAAGAATTATAAACCTATCTGGTATGTTGTTTCGAGTTATGCTTTGGCCTTGACTACCGCCCCATTGGTTTAGGTCTTTTGAAGCCACATTCTTCAAATGAACACGTACATTTGTTGATAATGTTTAATGAAAATGTATTCGAAAAGACATGAGCAGGGAATATTTACTTTATATATGATTATCAATTGGTCTACAAGTCTTGCTCGAGTGTCTCTTTCTTTGATTTCTAGCTCCAGACCGTACTTCAAAATGATTTGCTGCTTTTCTCATACCCTCTGAGACCTTTCAAATTTGTTTTCATCCATTCGTAATTTGGTAGATTCTTACCCGAAAGTATATACGTAATTCAGATTATATATATATATATATATATATATATATATATATATATATATTGCAAATAAATTTAAAAATATGTAATACATGCACGCTATCTAATTAAAAATTATAATTTTTTTTTATCTCTTCGTGATTTGGGAGATATTTACACCAAAATATATATATATTACAGAATATATATATATATATATATATATATATATATATATATATATATATTGCAAATAAATTTAAAAGAATGTAATCCATGCACGCAATCTAATTAAAAATGATACCCGGTATTCAATGAATATTCTAATTACTTCCCTTTAGAATGATCCACTTGCACCACCAAATAACTAATGGCATGCTAATGGTGAATTTTATTACTATTTTTTTTTTACTTTTGGCAAATACATTTAAAATTATACTTTTATATTTAAGAGCTTTTCCAAATTTAAGCGCCTAAGGCGTCATCCATAAATGGCGTCATGCATTTTGCTGTTCTTACCCCCCCCCCCCACACACACACACACTCCTCCCACCCAAAAAAAAAAAAAATCTGTATTTGCCACCTGACATTTTTTATGTACATGTTCCTAGACATTAAAGGATTCTCTAAGATTCTAAACAGTTAATGTGTTCGATTTCTAAAGTAGTTTGACATTTTAAACTGTAGGTATTTATGGAAGGTGAGACCCATTATCGAAGATGTAGACGAGACAACAGAGATATTATTGTCACCTTCGTTTTGGACCGTGTCGATCACTTTATTCTAATTCAGTGGTCGCAACAGCGTCAACTCTTACCAGTAGTCGTGTCGTTTCCAATTCTAAGTTAGATGTAGATGGTTGGCTAATATATTATATGGATATTATTCATTGGAAAAAAAACCCATATTAAAGGTGTCCTCAAATCCCTCCACCTTTTGGAAATCCATGTGACCATGCATAATGGCTATGTGCTAGTAGGGTGTCAGCCAGCACGTTAGCCCTATCCTGCCCTGACCCCAAAACATGGATTTTTTTTTTTTAACGAGCACAAATAAAGACGGTTTGCCATTCGGATTACCATAAGGTTACAAGCACTGAATTTTTTTTTCTTCTGGCGTCGCTTTTTTTCCCAATTAAAATTTTTTTATTGCTTACTCAAAACTCTACAAACCCCCTATTTGTCCCCAATCATCATAAAATAATGGCCTCTTTTCCCATTAAGAATGGCTAGACTCAAGGCTAAGGAATGTAAAAACAATTGTTTTTATAAAACTTAACTTTATACAAGTTAATACAAGGCTTAATTTTTAACACTTTTATACAATTTCACGATATGGTAGGTTTAATAAGTATCACAACAAATTGTTTTGCCAATAACCTGTAAGTGTTATAAACAAATGAGGATATGTTCGCAAGTAAAGCAGTAATAAAAACATTCCTACCACTATAACTTAAATTTGTGTCGTCAACGCTAACTTTTCTTGTGTAATGGAGGAGCGGGGTGCTGGTGAAATCTGTAGCGTAACGTTGACCATGCATTGCAATATCTAAATCTTTAATAAAGGTGCCCCCCCCCCAAATGTAGTTGTTTGGCATTTACCTTGTGTAATAAAAAGCCTTGTCTTATGAATGTACCAGCAGTTTATAATGTCAGGACTATTGAAGGCCTTGTCTTATGAATGTGCCAGCAGTTTATAATGTCAGGACTATTGAAGGCCTTGTCTTATGAATGTACCAGCAGTTTATAATGTCAGGACTATTGAAGGCCTTGTCTTATGAATGTACCAGCAGTTTATAATGTCAGGACTATTGAAGGAAACGTTTACTTTTTTTGGCGATGAAAATTTTGCTTTGTGTAAGAATAGCATATGATAAGTGGAATAGTTGGTACAGCATATGATCAGTGGGGTAGCGAACTCATCATATGATCAGTGGGGTAGCTAGAGGTTATAAGAGCCTCTGCTACCCTTAAATTGGCGAAAAATACAATGCAAACCGAATGCCCATAAAAAAAATTCATATTAAGTATTGAATTAGAAATAAGTGCCCCCCTCCACCAATCTCCCCGTGCAATAACGATTCACAAAACACACGCTACATTTCTTCTTCTTCTTTATTTTGAGGGCCCATGGTCAATGAATTGATCATTCTGGCTCCTATGTTTCAGAAGTGTTCGCAATGTTACTGAGCATGAGTTGGATGACAGGAGACAATAGACACGCAGATGTGTCGAGTGTAGCCGCCTCAACTGTTGCTTTTATCTTATGTCATCCCTCACTATATTGTGGTTCACTTTACACTGTATGACTGTATTGCTGAGTTTTTAAATTGTATACATCAAATATAGATACCCATAATATAGAATTTTTAATTTATATGCTGTTTTATTTCAATTAAGGGAAACGTGCCCTTCCACTGAGCTTCCCCCCGGGCTAATGTCGTTGTATTGTGTTCGCTGAAAACGTAAACATTAACATGTCTGCACGTAAATCAAAAGTTTACTATGAATATTAGTGGATCAAAAATACAGTTGAACAATTTGTTATAACATATTTCACTATTCACTAAAGATACTGATAATATAGCAAATCAAATTATCAAAGACAGAAAATATTCTAAAAAGGAATTTTTATGTGAATGTAATTTTTTGTATAGTTTTAATTTAAAAATAAAATGAAAGTTTCCGAAGCTTGGTGTGGTAAAACATTGTGTCACGCCAATTTTTTTTTGATTTAAGGTCAATCCCAGTTAAGCCATTTTTTTTTTTTTCCAAAGAGCTTTTTCTCTTTTCCCATAGTGACATTTTGATTTTGTTGTATGGAAACATTCAAAACATCACCCCGTGTGGGGGGGGGGGGGGGGGATTTCGCTTGGTTGACGGGGGCTCGTGACCTTGATTACTGCTCCCTTACACTTACACCAGCTTCATATACAAAAATGGCGAAGGTGTGCACTTCTTTATTTTCATTTAAAGCGCTGAATATAAATAGATAAACGTCAGTCAACTCCTTTGGGGTGTTTACATTTTAGAAATGCATTTTTTTATTGTATACATTATAAAGTTTATTTATTTAGTATTACGATACGATTTTGAAATCGTAAACTAGCCAGCTGTTCTGAAACGATATTTTACTATTTTGGAATTTCCATGGTAACTGTGACTGCGGTACTATTTCAGATTTGCAGATTTGAGGGGAGGTAATTCATCATACTTTTGATAAACTTTAATTTTATTTTTTAGGTGTAGCGTCCCTTATGTCGGAACACTAAAACAATCCCTTATTGTTGCATTTCCCTTGTAGATATTTGACTTAAATTAAATTGCTGCTAGCTGAGTTGGTTTCTGAGCTCTCTCTCCTCCGCCCCCACTATTTGTGTGTGTGTGTTTTCCTTGCTTTAATAAATTAATTAAATTTAGACTTCTGCATAGTTAAGCATTCTTGTAGCAAATTAAGGAACAAACATGCGTGTTCGCCTTGAGACTTACGGAAGGCGCACTTTCGCATTTGCTGGCCCAACAATTTTGAACACCCTTCCTGTCGATCTCAGAAACAGCCAGACACTGGAATCCTTCAAAACTCATTTGAAAACACATCTATTTCTGAACACCTGCTGGGCTGATGTTGTCTACCATCTTTTCCAGCTAGCTATTATCTCCTAGATGTATAATATATTGGCTTGTGTTGTTTACGGTTGCACGGGATGAAAGACTCTGACTGGGTATGCTGATTTCTAGTTTTTGTAGTGTTGCGTTTTGTGTTTTAATATGGTAAAATATAGATTGTTTCATTTCTCTTGTAATATTGTTGACTTTGTACCGCGCTTCAAGCCTTTGGGGATGAAGCGTGATTTTTTTCAAATAAACCTTGTTATTATTTTATATCCTTGATTTTCTTCTGATTGTAAGGATCAGGACAATATTATTTTAATATATTTGCAACCTTTCATTGTTTATATTTATATTTTAATTTGTTTAAGAGATGGTTAATAAAAAAAAATCCACACCAATGATCCGGGTTGCGGATGTCCACAGGAGCGTAATTGGAAAGTTTTAGTGCGAAATGTCAGGAAGTTTATAATAATTGTAAGAGCATAAATGCGAAACTTAAACGTAAATATCAGTATTATCATCAATTGATAAGTTACACACTGCAGAATATTGGGGGGAGGGGGGATGATTTTGGAGATGATGCCTATGCTGAATGATGGTTTTCGGAAAGTATGTACATTAAATAACTATCCTGAAATTCGGCCACTCTGTTATATTTGTAATAAAGCTAACAGTCACCTACTCTGTTATATCTCGTTATCCTACCTAGATTTGGTGAATGAGATGACCACCATTACAGTGAATGTGTACCTCCACATTTCTACCTTGATTTGGCGTTTGAGAGGACCACCATCACAGTCAGGCCTGGATTAACTATTAGGCAAACAAGGCACGTGCCTAGGGCACCAAGCATTTGGGGGGCACCACAACTCCTCATGAAAAATTTGTATATTGTCCAGGTAGCGTAATTGCATGGCATAAGCAAATCACAAATGTAATATTGAATCGCACATTATTTAACCTTGGCCCCACAACCCGGGGGTAAAATACCCCCCTCCCCAACCCAGTTTGTTTTGCTATTTTTTTTATGTTTCTTCAAAGTTTTTTGTGATCACTTGCATGAATCTGGGAATGAATTTTAAAGATTTGAAGAAGCTGCAAAAGAAATAACACCAGGTTAGGATTATAAGTCAACTTTGACCCGTAATCGTAAACGAAAGACAGTGGTCATTGATGGTGATTCCCCTGGGGTATCTCAGAATGCCAGAGACAAATTTCGTATATCTGCTTTCGTATATATTTCGTATATGTGTTTTCTACACCATGGTTGACAAACTTGAGACAGAGATGAGTAGACGAGGACAGGTATATAATGAACTAGCAGTTCAATATTCTTGTTTGGTCGATGTACCACAAACATCTCAGTGTTGTGAAGGGCTAATAAATGCCTATCCCGAAAATCTGAAAAATAATTTATATACTGAACTACAACAGTTCCACTCATATATTCGCCACAAGTTTCGTGCACCAAAATCTGAGAACTACGCGTTCAGTCATGAAGAACTCTACAAAGTAATAGTTAGAGACAACATCGAGTGGTGCGCTTTTCCAAATGTAGAAATCGCCTTGCGCATATTTTTAACATCAATGGTTACGAACTGTTCAACTTAGCGCTCTTTTTTCAGTTGAAACGTACAAAAAATCCAAGTAGATCGACAATGAAATAAGAAAGGCCTGATTCCTTATCTTTGCTGATGATTGAGGCAGACTTGCTGCGCAAAATTAACTTTGATGATGTATTCAAAAACTTTGCCAGACGTAAATCGAGAAAAAAGAACTTTAAAATGTAAATGTGTGCTCTCTCTGACTTTCTTATCTATCCAAAAGTGACAGTATTTTTGTGTACTATAATTACAAAATTAATTAACTATTAATTTTAATACAGAAATACCTTACTGTAGGTTTTATATGAGTGATAATAGTTCAAACGTATGTGTTTACATTTCACAACTGTTTTGCTTTGTTAGTTTTTTGCATAGTATTGAACATACCAGCAGTCAGTGCAGGATCGGGGGCCAGGGACAGTAGGGGGCACCCGTGTGACATTGTGCCTAGGGCACCAAGATGGCTTAATCCGGCCCTGATGACAGTGAATGTGTTCCGCCATTCTACCTTGATTTGGTGTGTGAGAAGACCACCATGACAGTGAATGTGTACCTCCGCCACTCTACCTTGATTTGTTTTATGAGAGGTCAACCATCACAGTGAATGTGTACCTCCGCCATTCTACCTTGATTTGGTGTGTGAGAAGACCACCATCACAGTGAATGTGTACCTCCGCCATTCTACATTGATTTGTTGTATTAGAGGTCAACAATCACAGTGAACGTGATCTTCAAATCTACCTTGATTTTTTGTATGAGAGGTCCACCATCACAGTGAATGTGTACCTCCGCCATTCTACATTGATTGGGTGAAAGAAAGTACCAGCAAAATCAGTCAGCTGACAATTTGAGAGGCCAGCATTAGTTTCATCTAATGTCCATTGTTAACAAGACAGATAACTCAATATCAGTATCTGTTTAATCTAATGTTCACGGTTAACAAGACAGAAGATTATGGTCTTAAGGAGGCGGTTGCCGGAAAAACATTTTAGAACCACTGTTGTTCTTAAGAACAAACTAAAAGATCCTTAAGAGCTAACTAAAAGATCCTTAAGAACAAACTAAACGATCTTTAGGAACAAACTAAATGATCTTTAAGAACCATGTAAGCGATCTTGAACAACAAACTAAATGATCTTAAAGAACAAACTAAACTATCTTTAAGAACAAACTAAGCAATCTTTATGAACAAACTAAGCAATCTTTATGAACAAACTAAACGATTTTTAACAACAAACTAAGCGATCTTTATGAACAAACAAACCGATCTTTAACAACAAACGAACCGATCATTAACAAAAAAAACTAAACGATCTTTAGCAACAAACTAAGTTATCTTATTAGGAACAAACTTAACATTCATCACAAAATAATAAGGTTCTTCCACATTTTAATTAAGTATTATTTTTGGATTATTAACAAATATAACGCTCTATGGTTTTGGGTATTTGAAGCTCTTAGGCTATAAAATTTGTTTTTATGAAACGACACAGAGATAAACGACAGTATATATATATATTTAGTCCTACATCATTGTATTCCACGATCTCTAAATTTCACGTGAGAGATCCAGTCCTACATTATTGTGTTCGAGGATCTCTTAATTTCACGTGAGAAAACCCGTAGTCATATGATTTGAAGGGAAGTCACTCTCAATTATACTTAATACTAGTGTTTACATAGTAGAAATTGTGGTTTGAGTTAAGAGTTACAATTGTTTTAGAAAGTTATTTGATATCATTATCAATTATAATCAGCATTATGTCGTCAGGAGAATCCAGCCATTTAATTGAAGACTTGGAGCGCCTAAGTAGCGGTAACAGTACATGTTTTTGTTTTTTATATGCAGCTGCTCAAGACTCAAGGACAAGCCATGTTACTATTTATTTTATTTTTTTGGTTACATGTACTTGGCCGAATAGCAGGACAAGATTATCTACCATTTCATAGCGTCAGTTATTAAAATATAGTGTTATTACGGTTTGAAATGCTATTTAAACGGTTATTCTTTCATTAATGTACATTACTGGCCACTGGGTTTTTGTTGGCATAGAAATTGGAAAAGAGTGGGCGCTTTTTTCTCTTTGAAGTGCCAGACCCACGTTATATAAGTACAAGTACAGGAGTGTGCATGAATAGAGAGACTCATGAGTCAGAGAGATATATTCTTACAGGCTCATTTCGTTATTGTATCTGATGGAGGAATGGCTTATGCAGACATAAACCAGATCAGACATGCCATGGAATCTACAAACACTCCTTTGTGGGAAAAAGAAGTTGGGGGGGCACTAAATTTAGGGGTGAATTTACACTTTTTCCTTATATTTATTTACCATCACCAAAATCTAAAATCTAACCATAAATTACATTTTTTTAGCTGGCCAGATACCTACATCTAAGCTGCAAGAACATGCTGAGGTTGTACGCAAAAACAATGTGAACTGGAAAAGCTACCTGCAGTTAGTATAATTAATAATGTTTGCACTTAAAAAATTGCTAAAATATATTGATTATGGTTAAACGTAAATTGTAATTTAGTTGCTGTGTATAAATTTTAAAATAACCATTATCATTTTAATTTGCTATAGTAGCATTTTATTAACATTGGGATATATTTATCTTGACAGAGGTCAAATGATTACAAATGAAGTTTATGAATTCATCTCAAAATTTGACACGGCAAAACCAGAGGAGAGAACTGCTATGTTACAAAAAAATCCAACTCAGGTTTGTTATTTGGGATGTCATTTACTGCGTCAAACATTTTGTCATTATTAAACTGTTATTATTAAATGATCCCCTGGTTTGAACTGCTGAAAATGGCCCAACTAATATTTTCTGTTTGTGTTTTTGATTGACTTCCAGCATTAACAATTTTTCTAGGTTTTAAGTTCTCTGGACTAAATATTTTTGAATTTTGTACCATGATGTCTAGTTTCTGACACATGTAAAACCACTTAAAAGCAACCCCAGAGCTTCAAATTATGTGAAGTAAAAAAATTTACATATACACATGTTATGTAGATGACCTGTTTACATTATCTTTCCCTGTGAATGAACTTTAGCTGACCCCAAGTTCGATACCCTGTTTAGGGTGTGGCTAATTATAAATGGTCTCCCTTGACCTTGTTCACAACTAAATAAAATCTATAGTCTGTACAATTACGTAGAAAAATCTAGACTAATCAAGAACGGAATGCAATGTGCAAGCCTATTCTAGAAATGTCTTTGGAACTATATATATATATATATATATATATATATATATATATATATATATATATATACACCCCTCTAGATAGAGAATGGAGAGAGAGATATGTGATCTAGAACACAAGAGAAAGATGTGTGATCAAGAACGGAATGCAATGTGCAAGCCTATTCTAGAAATGTCTTTGGAACTATATATATATATATATATATATATATATATATATATATATATATATATACACGCCTCTAGAGGGATTGAAGGGAGAGAGATATTTGCTAACGATTACAAGATGAAGATTTGTGAGTTTATATTTAATTTCTGTGTGCATGTACTACTTGTCTTTTGCCTTTCTTCTGCAAAAGAGTACCAGAGGCAGTACATTATGACAATGAAGTTTATGATATTGTTGCCAACCCAAAGCAAATTCGATGCACCATATGCGGCTAAAAGTTAATGAAATAGTGTAAAAACTACAGTGTCATAGTCCATGCAAACTGGTCTGAAATTTTTCATTGTATATGACTCGTATGCTCCCACTGTCCCTAAAACGGGATTCTCTGTTCTCTATGAAGATCTTGATATCGATTTTCATTGGAAATTTATTTGTGCGTTATTGGGTAAAAATGATGCAATCATTGCAAGTAATATAGTGAAATATGATTTTAAATCCTTCATGTTTTCTTGGAAACTATACATCTTTATATATAACCAGTTTCAGTTTTATTTTTTTCAAGTTTCATTTCACACATTCCCCACACAGACACACTTTTTTTTACATTTGTTGATGAACCTCAGCAGTTTGCTTCTTATCATTTATCAGTTTGTCATGGTGTTCCGCATGTTGATGGAAGGCATCTCCCGTGACCAGACACTTCAGTATGTTCTCACAATGCTTGATGATGTTCTTCAGGTATATAATAAACTTCTTTACAGGAGGATGTGTAGAAAATAGTTAAAAGCATATTGGTTTATACAAATCAGCATTGAAGCAAAGATCCATGAGTAATAAGATTGCAGAACTGACAATTCTCATCTTTGACAAGTAAAAATTGAGTTTTATTCTGAGTGTATTTAAATTACATTGAAATATTTCATGTTTTTATCTTCTTCTTCACTTAATATGAAGTTGATTTTTATTTTTTTTTTTTTTATTTCTCAGGCTGACAAATCTAGGGTTGAAATTTTCAAAGACTTTGCCCGCAAGAATAAAGAAAATGTCTGGCAACCATTTTTCCATCTCCTTGATAGGGATGACAAATTTATTGTGTATCAGGTGGGTTTTACCAGAAATATCTATGGTGCTAACAAGGTAATAATTAGTCAAATTTTTCAGAGACATATGCTACCCAGCCTATTCTTCACTATTTAATTTTTTTTTTTAAATCCTTTTATTCAAAATGTTTTATTTTCCTATGAGATTACCGAAACAAAGCTATTAGTTTATTGACCAAAATGTATGCCAAGAAAAGGAATGTAATGCATTTTTTCCCATTATTCCCAATAATGAATTAACAATGATTGTTGACACTTCAGTAAGTTTTGAGAGACATTTAACGAATTACTCAAAATTACAAGTAACACATTTTGTTTAAATTACCATATTCTCTTTTTCAGGCCAGCCGAATTATTGCCAAGATTGCATGTTGGTCCAAGGATCAGATGGAACGAAAACACCTACAGAGTTACCTTGTCTGGCTAAAGGATCAGATCAAATTACCTGTAAGATTTTTAAATTTTATTTTGTGTTTGATCTATACCTTGTTGTTTTGATGTGATAGGACACAATGTTAACTTTTAATGAAACGTTTTATTTACTATCAATAATATATGTTGTGGTTTTTAAGCATTATAAAAGTTTGCATTGAAAACATTGTATTTAAACATTTTCTCAGTCAATCAGAAAAACAAAAATGTGTTTCCAAAGTTTTTATACCTCTGATGTTTTAGATCTGTATCCATTACCCTTATAGATGAACTTTATAATCCCTATATAATTTTGAGGGGTTATTATAGAACATAAGAACTCTTATTAATGTAATTAACTAATGGCACCCCTACATCCCTTAGCTCAAATGTTTCTTGAAATATTTTTTTACAAAACTGACAAAAATAATTTTTTTTAAAATAATAATTTGTGACTAAAATTCTGATAATCCTGCAGCTCATCTCTCCCCTGAAGTTAAACCTGTATCAGTTTTTCATGTAAACATATACTTCAACTAGTAATTGTAATGAATGATTTTGTCCATTGTTTGCAGAACAATGAATATCTATTGTCTGCTGGTCGAAGCCTTCAAATGATGCTTAGGATTAACAACTACAGAATAGTTTTTGTGGAAGTTGATGGAATTTCTGCGTAAGAGAAATATTTTATGTTTCAAGGAGACAGCTTGTTGATAAATCTTATTCCATTTCAATTGGTTTTGATGATAAATAAATTATGTTTCTTAAATTAAATTTTTTTTTCTGTGGATGTTGAGAAAGTTGTTTTTTTTCCTTTTTAAGTTGATGAATGTCAAAATGTATTTCTGTGTCCCTTTATCCCAGAATTGTTCATGTCTTGGCCAACAATCCAAGCTTTCAAGTCCAGTACCAGCTGGTTTTCTGTTTGTGGTGTATCTCTCACAACTCCAGCTTGGCTGAAAGAATGAACAGGTAAGACTTCTTTCACTGAAAAATAATAGTAAGTTTAACTTATTTGATTTGGTTAAGAAATCTGATACACATTTAAAAAATTTACAGATAATTTTTCTTTGCTGCAAAAAAATAGTTTAAAAGTAATAAAAGTTTTATTTGTTATTCTTATTTGGTTTGTTTTTCCTTGCAGTGGCAACATAATTCCTACATTGGCAGATGTGCTAAGTGATGCTGTAAAGGAGAAGGTCACCCGTATTGTCCTGGCCACTTTTAGGGTGAGTTTTTAATTTGAGATGAGAAAATTTAAATTGAGTTTTTATTTTGGTACTCAGGAATAACTTGGAGGTTCTGGAACTTAACCAACACAAACCAAAAACTTTGAAATTTTTGTTTCTTCTCATTTTTAACAGAATCTTATTGAGAATGTTGAGGAAGAGAGTGTCCGTCAGGAACACGCATTGTCCATGGTACAGTGTAAGGTAAGAAAAACTAGTGCTGCTTTTGCTACAGTTTAAGGTGGTAATATGGTTTGATGTACATGACTCAACAGAAGATCATCTAATCTTGAAAAAACATTTAACTCCCTGCAAAATTATTGCTACCTGCAAATATATTCAAGTGATAAGTCTTTGATAATTTTTTTTTAACCAACTTTACTTGTAACTAATAATTAACTTTTAGGTGGTAAAAATTGTAATTTGAAGTGGCTATATTATATGGAGCACATGTAATAACAGGCACTATCAGTATTTTTTTTTACCAGGATATCCTGCACTTTTCTTAAATTTTACCATTGCTTTTCTTTTCCGGGAAAAGGTATAAAAAAAATTCAAAATATAAACAAAAACAAATTTTTACCTGAATTTTATGTGTACCGAGTGAAGACTTGAAAATTCTTATTTTAATTTGGTCCTTTAATGGTCCAAATTTATATCATTGTCTAATTCACCTTTAGTGTGTGTGTGTTTTTTTTATCAAGGTCTGTTTTATTTGCAGTTAATTCTATTATGGCTCTGTTAGTAAAATGTTTTAATTTAGCCCAGTAATAACCACTAGAACCAAACTTGTGATAGGTACTCAAACACCTGGAGCTGCTAGAGGGCAGACAACACCAGGACGAGGATGTTGTAAATGACCTTAAGTACCTGTTAGAAAAGCTCAACGATTCAATCCGGGACCTCAGGTCAGTCTGAAAATTAAGATATAAGAAAGACAATCTACTGATGATTTTACAACTGATAAAAAATTCCAATGAATTCTTTGGAAAGAACATTGTAATTTGGACATTCAAAATTGTCTTTGACCTTATAGAATTGTTTCTGCTAACAAATCTGTCTAACTGGAAAAATATTTTTGAGCTGATTAAATGGCACTAAGAAGATTTAATTTCCAATTAAAAAATTAATTTGGATTTCCTCGCCAAAAATGTAACTAATATTCCAGGTTACATTTTTTTTTAAATGTTTAATAAATTAAATATACTTTCCTCCACTGATTCATCTTCAATTGTTAAATATTTTTATTTTTACCATCTGAAAATATGAAATTCAGTTTAATGTGTGTAATATTAGCAAATGTTTTTTAAACATTTTTTTAAAAGAACTTATCACATAATACCAACAGCTTGTCATTTTTACTGAATGAAATTGTATACATTAAAATCTCCTACAAATGTCAACCCTCTTGTAAATGTGTTTGCTTATGTTGGCAGTTCCCTTGATGAGTACATCACTGAGGTGAAATCTGGCAGACTGGAGTGGAGCCCGGTACACAGATCTGATCGCTTCTGGCATGAGAACGCTGCCTACCTCAATGAAAATAATTATGAGCTTTTGAAGTAATTTTTCAATTGTATCTGTATCCTGTCACACAATGCTAATACACTTAGTGTATCTTATTAAAATACACCATCAGAATATGTTGTCACATTAAATTTTCTGAGTAATCACTAGGTCTTTAATTTCAAATAATTTGTCATTTCTCGTTTTTTATTGTCTGCTGAAGAAGAAGTCATTTAGTCAAAACGACCTGAATCTTGCTGTAAATATAAATTTTGGTGATCTCTAAATTTGTGAAATTTGAGTCCCAGTAAAGCCGATGATAGAAATTGATTGATTAATATAAGTCATTGGGCTTTTAAAATATTTTTATTAAAAATAATTTTTGTAAATACACAAAAGTTTTATCAGGCAATTTATTATTGACATTTATGTCACAACAGGATGTTGATTCGCTTGCTAGACACAAGCAAAGATCCACTTGTCTTGTCCGTTGCTGCCCATGACATTGGAGAGTATGTACGCTATTACCCAAGAGGAAAGAAGTAAGATTATTTTTTTATTATAATTATTGTGTGTATTACCAGTATTAGTATTTATATTGAGGAAAAGAAGGGTGAAATTTCTTTGTTTCTTTTAACAATTTTTGTTTCAAATTTGTTTAGAAGGATATCTACAATAGAGCACTCATTCTTTCTACATTTTTTTCTTTATTTTATTAACCATGTTCAATTTTTTATCCGAATTTTTTAATATCTAATTTAAGTTAAAAAAAAAAACAAGTTTTATCAGCTGAAGAGCATTCTAAGAATTTTTTGTAAAAACATTACACCATCTAGCATTTTTATAACTTCTTAAAATTGTAGAAAACTCTTTGGACACCTTTTAGCATTAAAAAATGTATGAAGATATGATTATATTTCAAATAACTTGTGTTTGTTATTAGTGTTGTAGAGCAGCTTGGTGGAAAACAGCTAGTTATGCAGTACATGATGCACTCTGACCCCAATGTCAAATATGAAGCACTGATTGCAGTACAGAAACTTATGGTTCATAATTGGTACGGTAAAATTCACAATTTTGTTCTTATTTGTTCTGTTATGCATGTCGAACTGACTGTGGTATTATAATAAATGCACAAACACAAATACAATTGTGACAGTTTTAGGAAAACTACATGCAAATCTCTAATGAAAAGACTAAAGAAGTTAAGAACAACTTAACCTTATCCTGATTCCACTAACTCCCTTAAAATAAAATTATTAAGCTTTGACGAGGTCTTAATGATTATATTACCTTTGCCTCTAATTTACTTTGAAAATTACTTTAATTCGTTTGACTGCCACCAGCAATTGTAAAAAATGATTCATTTAACAGATTTTAGAACTAGAATATGTTAATATTCGACATTAAAGCTCAAGTGATTTGCTATATATATTTTTTCTGTAATTGCCTGCAGGGAATACATGGGCAAGACAGTGGACATGAAGCAGCCAGGATTCAGCGCAATACCCAAGAGAGCTTAAAATCTTTAGGCTTTTATATTCTGTGCATTGACCTTTATGTGACCAATGGAATTTTTTAGACACTAGTAACAAGATCACCAAAAATGTTCCGTTATATTTTACCAGTGTTAACATGTACTTTTCAGAATTGATGCAAGTTCATTGGGTATCTTGTATTGTTCAAATCATTTTTAAAAGTCATTAAAATACAAACTGACTATACCTGCGATGAATAAGAATTCACTGGGTGCGTTTTTGGTGTTCCTGTAACTCTATAAACATATCATTCCTTTTATTAGGTCATTGTCAAATTCTCCCAGTAGACCTCATAAGACTATTTATTTACATAGAGAAATTTAATTATAATTAGGTTATCCAAAGAGTTTTATTACTTTAATTTAATATTTATCTAACATTAAAATACAGTATGCAAAATTTTAAAATTTTCTCAACTGCAACTTATTTTCACCTAAAATTATTAGCTTTATATGGTTTGAAATCCTCTCTTGAGTTGCAATCCATCTGAAACTTTAAGCCCCTAATTTTTTTTACACAATAATAATAATAATAATAAAGTTCATTTAAAAAACACGCTTCATCCCCAAAGGCTCGAAGCGCGGTACAAAGTCAACAAAAAACATATCTATAATTCACCACATTTAAAACAAACACAACACTACAAAAACTAATTACAATGAACTTCCCACCCCCTTTTTTTTCAAGCCAGTTTACAAGAAAAAGTTTCCATACATTTTTTTAAATCCATGAACCGGGTTTTCCTTTACATGCTACAATAAAGTGATATGTGATAACTGAATGAAGCCATTCCTTGTATAAATCATGCATTTTATGTATGTACTTCCCCTGCCATGTCACTCACTTTGATTGATGGGGCATTTGTGTTGTCAATGAAGCTGGAGGGAGCATTCTGTCCTAAGAGTGACAGTAAACACAAAATGTAACTTTTAAAATTTCAAACATTAATTTCATTTAAAAATTGTGTGTTGTTTACTTCAGTTACTTGTAACAAAAACAATGTTCACAAATAGCTTATCATGACAAAACACAAAACTTCTATTATTGTACTCAGTAGTATTATTTATAAATATAAACAAGATTGAAAACCATATTGAAGCAAACAGACACTGTGTGTGTGTATATATATATATATATATATATATATATATATATATACATATACAAACATTTGCAACACAAATTGTTCAACTTTCAGTGTTATGATTCATTTGCATTTGTAAACATGTACAGTTTTCTTTACACCAATTTTTTTCTTTTTTTATAAGCTCCTTTGATGTGAATGGTAAAACAGATTCAATATAAGCTTAAGATGTTTAAAATCAAGCATTGTTTAGGATAATATATGGCTTTCTTGTGGTAAAAAAAAAAAAGAAAAGTCTAAAGAAAATCTAAAATATCACTTTATAAAATTATATTTTATTTGTTTATGTAGTGAGTTTAAAAGAAAAAAAAACAACTTTATAGGCATGTTGAACTAAGTTTTACCATAATGCAGTCAATAACTGTGTTAATTATAATTCTGTGTACTTGATGTGTAGGGACTCATAGTGTAATTCCTTTAGTCTGTGAATGTGATATATTATTATGTTTATATCTTTCAACTTTGATCATGTAAGCGGAGTGTATAATATTCATGTCAATAAGTGTATGCAGAGCATTTGTGCTGATATTTTCAGTGAGAATGTGTCATTAAAAAATGAGACATGTTTGTGTGTTACCATTTCAAAGGCTGCTGGTTGACATATTTTTTTATTTAAAAATTACAAAATATGTAAATGAAATCATTCTGAAATAGTGATAAATATTGTGGTTTTAAAAAAACTAAATAATTAGTATTTTTATTATTAGCTAGGGTTTCAAATGAAAAATTTGAAGCAAAATTCTCAAGAAAAAAATTAATTTAAAATAATTTATGAAAAGGCTATGGGAAATGAAATAGAGTGGATCATTTAATGTCTTTATTATGTGGTAAATTGAATGTATCGTTAAGTTAAAATATGATAATTAATGCACAAGAAAGTGTATTTAAAAGGAGAATAACATTGAAAGCAGCTGCTCTCTTGTACTTATATAAATGTTTCTGATTACTTATTTATAATTTAATGGATAATCTATTATGTATACGTAGGTGTGTAGCCACAGGAAGTTGTCAGTTGGGACTGAAGAAAGCATATTTTATTAAATTAAATTTTGCTCATTATAGCCAAGGAAAGAAGAGAGTTATAATAGTAAAGTCCTAATAAATTATGAAAATAATATTTAAAAATTTTGTTTGTTTTTTGTTGGCTTGTTTTGTTTTTATGTACTTGTTTATTTTTATCTATTTTTTTTAAGCATCAAGTTTATTGCATAGTTTTTATTGTGGCAACTACCATATCTAAAATATTTTTTGGAACAACTAGGATATCAAAAACATTTTTGAGGCAACTATGATAAATTAAACATTTTTATGACCCCTAGTAGTACACTGCGATATCTAAAAACATTTTTGCATAGACAAACATTGGTTAAATAATATGATCAAATCTTCATTTGATTAAGACAAATTATCAGTCCTAATTAGCAAAATCTTGAAAAAATATGGCGAGAGAAAAGGGAGAAGGGAGCAATAATTATCGGGGCTGACAAAAGTCTGCAAAGGCCATTTTGCTTCTATAGATATTTTAAGCCCGAAAACAAACTATTCAGTGAGCTTTTAAGGATCGCCTACTCCTTCACTCCCCTTCACCACCCACAATTTTTTTCAAGAGGTTGTATGCTGGGTTAATTATTCACTCAAGATGGAAACTTCAACCAAAAAAAAATAATATAATAATAATTGTCAAGCAATTCGCGTATAGCTTTAAGACTATTGGAATGCCTAGATTGGGGTATGACATGCCTGGTCCATATGGTGCCACTGTGGATTGAAATGAGTATAGTTAATCATTATAATTTAAGATATACAGGTAACTCCTGAAGATTATTTTTCTGGTAAAAAGTAACGGTAACTGAAGTAAAAATCTTGTGCGTCTTTTCTGATAGTTATGACCCTTGTAAACTTTTGACCAATAGCAGCACAGCTCAAGTGACTGTGCCAGCATAGAGCTAACAAAGTAGTTAGCAGACGAAGTAGTCGAGCACGTCAGTTAATTCTCACTCGTCGCTTTGGCCATTTGTGTGCTTTTGGAATCTGAGGCTGGAAATAAATGATTCTAAACTTTGGTAAATATTATTGGTTACACATTTTTTCTTAAGAATATCTTTATTGAGATAGTACAACATGCGTTCTCACCGAGACCCGCCCATTTATTGATTGGTAAACTTTAGTATTCATAGCGATTGGCCTGACCGCTGAAAGAACTTTGCACTTTTACGTTGTTTATTTCTTCCCTACACTAACATTTCTATTTATTGATTTGATTAATAATTTAAAATTTATTGCAATTGATCTAAACGCCTTTCCTTAAGATGGATTAGTTCATTTATAAAAATGTGTTAACCGTTTTGCCTTGTTGTAAAATATTAAATGTGTGTGCGACATCCTGATACTGACACTTAATTCATAGTCGAAATGCAGTAAAAGCAGGGAACAGAATTGGGTCAGTGGGCAGAGAAAAAGAAAGGCAATCAGCTGTTCCTTTCTGCTTCAAAGACCGGATGCTTCTGCCTGCTGGTCTGCTGGTTTTAGTCTTCTGCTCCGATTTTTTTAATGCCTGTTGTGAAATATAGACATGGATTTTACTTATTTGTATGTTTTGTTGTTTTTGTTGGTTGGTGTTTTTTTAATTGGGGGTGGGGGATACTCATTAACTCAATCAATTATGATTAACTGATGAAATGAATGTTTGTTTTTTTTTTTGTTTTTTTTCAAAATACACACTCTCTCAGATGTCTCTAACTCTAATTCTAGGCCTACAACAAATTTAAATAAAAAAATAATAATAATATCAACAATGAGTAAAAATACAATGACAATGTACTTAACTTGTTATACCCCGGCCTTGGAAATCAGTTATCAAAATAATGAAACATTTCATTAAAAAAAACATGCATAATTATAATTTATACAATCCCCTGCTGATCAATGATACTGATACTAAATACAAATGAAAGACATAATTTAATAATTATTATTATATTATTTTAGGATTACATTTACTAATTTAGTTTTATAGTTGGTGTCTATTGTCTTTCCATGAGTCTTTAATTACTACAATTAGTACTATCTCTACTTGTGTACTGAATTTCTTAATTGGTAAAATCAGTTGTTTTGGTATTGCAGAATGTCTTGATTTTCAGGTGAAAGTTATTCTCCTGTTTGTACATTTAGAAATTTCTTCATTAAACTGATGTATTGCCTCAAGTAGTTTATGTGCTTTTTTTTTTTTTGGACTAAATTCAAGCCAGGATCACAACTCTGCTCTTCTTAAAACTTTCAATTCATAGTATCTTATATTGCTGTTATGGCAAGAAAAATACACTATTTCAAACTCTGTAGAATGCTCAATGGTTGGTAGATTTTTGAGGGGATAGTACCCCTTTTTTTAAATTGAATGTTAATACTTTCTTTTCATTTAGAAAATTCCATTGTTTAGCATGATAAAATAATAGCCAAAGCGTGACTTTTGGAGGCCTTCTGCCAATTTTCAGCTTTATGCCCCAGCATTCAAAGTTAACAGTTTAAAAAAGTTCCACATCACAATTAGGGCCCCTTAAAAATCATTGGCCCAGAACACAGCTCTGGATAAAACTTAATATTTAATTGGAGGTGAAAGGTTATGTTAAAGAACAGAATACTGCCCAGTTCATACTAGAGATTAATTGATAAAATGAATTGCTGAGATAATCTCTTACAACTACCCCTCCTCCAAACAAGCTCAGAAATAACATTTCCACTAATGATCATTAGAATGTATGTTACCCAAGTGTTGCTATAAAATTTATCATGATTAATTAGTAATGGTTGTAAATTTTGACTGCAAAAAAGATCTCCTTAGAAATAATTGAGTCATATTGTTGTGCAAGGGTGCAAGGAGAATAATTTACTATTGTTAGATAGGCTCTGGAGAGGCATATGGTGCAGACTATAAGTCACAATATGATACACTTTTGTAGCAGCATTTTAATAAACATAGTTATTATATGGACTAATTTCTTCTTTAACAATTGTTGTCTGGTCTGTCAATCTTCAGGATATGTCAACTAAGGTCATAATATATCATATTGTTAAAAAAATTATATTAAAAGAGTAAAAATATTTGCAATCTAGCTGTATCGGATTTGAATTCAGAGTTTTTTAACACCTAAAAAAGTTTTCCATGTTATTTTTCAGATCTAAAAAATTTAATAAATGAGTATTTTATAAGAAGTCTGTCTGGGATTCTGATATAGTATTCATAATAAAGCATATTCTACTTCATCTCATTATCTCTGGTCCATTACTGACATTATACAGAGAAAAATCCAAAAAAATTAACACCAACTATTTACCTTTGTTGTGGTGTTTGCTTTGGTGTGCATGTTGTGTACACTTCAGCAAAAATTGGTATTTTTTCAATAACTAGCTATTTTATATATATATATATATATAGAGATGTATTTTGAAAAAAAATATCCTGATGGTTTAAGGTTATATTTTCTGTGACATCAATCACTGTATCGATGTACCAATAGTGATAGGAAGTATTAGCTTCCTGGTCTGATGTCTTTTCAGTGCTTGTTAAAGAGAAAAATGGGTGACAAGGATCTTTATTATGCTGTCTAGGTTTGACAGGTGTTGTGCTAACCCCCAACCCACTTTTCCCCCCTCTTTCTGTAGGCTGTACTGTTTTTTTTTTTTCGTTTTTAATAGGTTTTAAAGTTCTTTTTATGCTTTTGCTTTTTCTATATTGGCCTATCTATTTTTTTTGTAGAAATATTCCCTTTTTTTTTAAAAAAAATGACAGGTGTTGTGCTAACCCCCAACCCACTTTTCCCCCCTCTTTCTGTAGGCTGTACTGTTTTTTTTTTTCGTTTTTAATAGGTTTTAAAGTTCTTTTTATGCTTTTGCTTTTTCTATATAGGCCTATCTATTTTTGTTGTAGAAATATTCCCTTTTTTTTTAAAAAAACTGACAATCCCTGCTATGTTCACTCTCAAAGTCAAAGTATCTTTTCTTAAAACTTTTCTGTATGTCATTTTAAAATCCTGGTACTGTCAACTGTCTTATTTCATATTTCCTAAGTATGCTGCATTAAGCCCAAGCTATTTAGATAATATTGTGCTTTAAAGTTGTCTGTCTCGCGTGTTTTCGTTACTGTTTGAATAGACGGTGGCGTATATATATATTTTTTTTTTTTTACTCGCAACATTAGAGGAAAGTTAATCTCTGCAGCAGCAAAAAGCTAATCAGTAGATAAAACTATCTAATATAATATTCACCTTGACATTAAAATTTAAACATTGCTTTAACTATTGCATTTTCTGAAGAAACGACACCACATACGACGAGTCATACTACATTATCATTAAGAAAGAAGTAAATGACGCATCTTGAATGAACAAGGCTTGTCTAAACGATATCCGACCATCTCATTGTCATTGGCTACTATCTTAGTTTGATCGGAACGAATACATGACCGAATTTCCTGTAAAGATTAGTGAAAATTTGAAAGGCTAGTGCTATTTAAAAAGATGGCTGAGCTGCTTTTAAAAAATGGTAAAAAGAGTTTATTTTCAGTGGTTGTCCAAGGTTGTTGAACTCGGGTCCTCATTCCTTCTTAACATGTTTTGTTGGTCCAGCCAAGCTATATATATTTTTTTTTAAATGTTACTTATTTAATGTAAACTCCAAAGGTTATGAACCACCGGCTTATTTCTTTCTCTAGCAGAAGGTTCAGTGATGAAAATAACAAACATTGTAACATTTTTTTACGTTTAGTTTCCCTTACTCTCCATTTAGAACATTTTAATTCTTTTTTTTTTTAAATTTTTTACTCAACCTCTTTTTTCCATGCCTTCTGTCCATGTCCTCACGATCCTTGTCTCTCATTCTGCAACCTTAAGCGCTCTGCCCCCCCTCTCTCTCTTTCTCTCTCACACCCACATATACACACACACTCAACACACACACTTCCCCTCACAATTTAAAAATCTGCCCATACAGTTATAGATATAAATGTTGTAACACTACTCTCTCCTTCTCTCTCTCTCTCTCTCTCACACCCACATACACACACACACTCAACACACACACTTCCCCTCACAATTTAAAAATCTGCCCATACAGTTATAGATATAA